GCTTGGTGCTTTCTATGGCAAAGGCTCAAATGGTCCGTATCGGCAGTCCAATCCAAATGGTTTTAAACAATAACTGAACTTCAGAGTTGCTAGAGAGAAATATTATGTTTTTCTGTGTGCCAGGTGGAATTATGTCCAGTTTCCTTATGGGATGCTATGACCCAGAATCCAAGAAGTGGTGCACTGTGACCAAGTGTTCAGGAGGCTATGACGACGCCACCTTAGCCAGACTGCAGAAGGAGTTGGACGTCATCAAAATTGGCAAGGTAAATCTCATGATTTAATCAGTAGTGCCTCCATTGTCGTATCAGATTTATGAAAGATGTATCTCATAAGTTTCCTATCCATCTTGCTTTCACAGGATCCAAGCAAGATCCCAGGATGGTTGAAGATCGTCAAGAACTATTACCCAGATTTCATTATCCGAGATCCAGAAGTAAGACTCTTCCTAATACGACCGAAGGGATGCTTAATGTTTGTGTGCTTGTAATGTGAAATGAGCTTGATGAGGCTCTGTTAAAAGCCTGGTTACAGTTGAGTATGTGATAGAAAAATGGCAATGAAGGAACTTTATTGGCTTGTTATCTCTTTAACTCAGAAGAATGTGTTTAATAGACCGTACAACACTTAAATGTTTAAGATGTTTGTACTGAATTGAAACTGTAGTAGTTTGTGTTGTGTATTGGACTATCAGGAATAATATATCCTGTATGTCAATGTTTACAGAAAGCACCAGTGTGGGAAATAACAGGAGCTGAGTTTTCCAAATCAGAAATGCACACTGCAGATGGCATATCCATCCGCTTCCCACGATGCACTCGAATGCGAGACGACAAAGATTGGAAGACCGCCACTAACCTTCAGCAGCTCAAGGTACCCTTGATTGGAAAATATTTGCATATCCGTATGCATTTTAAATAGAGATGCAACCAGGAACTGTAGGATGTGCCATCAAGCGTCTCAAAGATAATGTTACATGTCTTTTCATAGCATGTTCAAAATGATAAATCAAAGTGAAATAAGTGGACATGAACTAAAAATTCAAATATTAACCATGTGTTTTAGAAATGCATGGTATATACAAGGATGAGTCATTCACAATAAGATCCACATTTTTTGTTGTTGTTGTTTTGACCACAGAATGTTTAATCAAAATGTCATCATTCGATCTTCCGGTAAAATGGCATAATTTTTCTCTGATGTATGCCGAACTTCTCCATTCATTTAGTCTGCTTAAACTCCACCCATCTACAACTGACTACAAGCTCGCATTCATTTTTTTAGTGCAATGCCAGCATCACAAAATCCAGTCAACATCTGATGGGTACAACCCATCCCCATCCATTTTTTTTTTCTGTAATGTCACAATTGGATATAAGTTACTATAGGAAAGAATTGCAACTTTAAATAAATAATCTTTCTTATAAATAAAACTTTTTTTTTTTCCTGCAAACTATTAGGTTGGTTTGTAAATCAAATATTGTAGTCTTTTCTTTTTTTTTTTACTAAATATTTTATTTATTTTTTGCAGGAGCTGTATCGTATTTCAAAGGAGAACTGTGATTTTGAGGTGACAGCTGGTCCGTCCAAAACTAGCCAAAATGACAAGAGCTCCTCAGGAGGTGAGAGTGGAGGAAACTCTCTCTCTGCATCTCATGGAGCTTCCACAGCTAACAAGACCAGTAAGTGTTCACCATGAACAGATCCTGTTTGGTCTGTAGTTGTCAAGTGTGACATCTGCATCATAAAAGTACCATTAAAAAAAGTTCTTACATTCTATAATTGTTCCAACTGTTCAGAAAACGGTCATGCTCCCAAAGCAAAGGCAGTGAAAACAGAATCATCTTCTCCAGCAGTTAAGAGGAAACTACCCGCAGAGAAACAAGATGCCAAGAAGGTTTGTTATCTGACGAACCCATATATGCTATACAATACTATTCAAAAGTTTAAGGTCATTAAGATGTTTTATTTTTTATTTTTTTAAGTCTCTTATGCTCACCAAGGCTGCATTTATTTGATCAAAATGCAGTAAAACAGTAATGTTGTCAGATATTATTACAATTTATTTGAATTAACTGTTTTAATAGATTTTAAAATGTAATTTATTCCTATGATGGTAAAGCTGATTTTCAGCAGCCATTACTCCAGGCTTCAGTGTCACATGATCCTTCAGAAATCATTCTATCATGCTGATTTGGTGCTCAAAAAACATTTACTATTATTATCAATTTTGAAAATGGTCGTGCTGCTTGCTTACTGGCCTAAACTTAACTTAGTTACCCCAAACTTTGCAACGGCAGCGTATTTTCTTTGAACACAGGTTTCATTTATCCGTTTTTAGATCATCTCTCCACTCAAACCCTGTGATCTTGTTCTATTTCAGATAAAAACAGAACCCGTTCACAGCAATGGACAAAGCAAATTGAAGACTGTTCAAACAACTGACCCAAAAAATGAAAAGGTTTTTTTAACCTCTTTTGATGCCTATTTTGTACTTAAAGGGCACCTATTATGCCCCTTTTTACAAGATGTAATATAAGTCTGAGGTGTCCCCAGAATGTGTCTGTGAAGTTACAGCTCAAAATACCCTACAATAATTTATTATATCATTTTGAAAATGCCTATTTTGAGTGGAAGCAGAAACGGGCTGTCTCTTTAAATGCAAATGAGCTGCTGCTCCCTGCCTCCTTTTTCCTTAATAGGGCTGTGCCTTTACATCTCATACCTCAGATACTTTGTCAAAAAAACGTGTTGTTTTATCACATCTATCATGCTGAAATCATATGTTTTAAAGCCATATCAGTTTAAACTTCTGATAATACGGTTTTCTGAGCGCACACATCCAAAGCATGCGCACAGAAAGCTGCCGTCACACGGCATGTGAGTACTACACTACTCTTTCATGTCTTATTGCACTTAAACTGTCAAATACACACAAGTTTGTTAAAGGGGTCATCGGATGCTAAATTCACTTTACATGTTGTTTGAACATAAATGTGTCGGAAGTGTGTGTACACATCCACCCTATAATGATAAAAATCCACCCAGTGTTTTTTTTTTTTAAATCCCTATTTTGAAAATCCCCTCTCAAATCAGGCTGTTCTGAGATTCCTGGCAGAATGACCTAGTTCTGCACAGGCCCCTCCCATGATAGTTGATTGACAAAGCCATCTTACCTTAGACCCTCTCGGCTGAAGTTTAGTATGCTCGTCACCATAGACTGTATAAAAACACGGACGTGGTGTCCGTGACGTCACCCGTAGGTTTCCGAAGAGCGTTTTTGGAGCCTAAAGTAGGTGGAGCCGGCCGTCGCCATCTTGGCAGCGCGTCACCACGCGTCACTCCCGCATAACCGAAAATGGGCAAAGAGACGGGAGCTGCTTGCTGAAACCACGCATTTTAACATGGGGAGTCTATGGGACTGACTCCCTTTTGGAGCCAGCCTCTAGCGGCCAGTCGATGAATTGCAGTTTTAGTCACTTCCGTGTTGGTTTCACGAGGGAGACTGGAAGGTTGCGCTTGCTGGTCACCCCATGGAAGAGAGGGGCGGGGTCAGCAGAGCTCATTAGCATTTAAAGCAACATGGACTAAAACGGCTTGCTGAAAACAGAGCTGATTTTGACAGGGTAAAAAGGGTGTTTTTGTTACAAAAACTGTCAGTTATGTCTGTGAAGGTAAACAGCTGGGAAAGAAATCGCATGTTTATATTAGATCTGTGTAAAGTTATTAAGTGACAGCAGTGTGTTGAAAACCTGACTTAACTTTTATCCAAAGATATTCTACATTTGTTTCAACTGTTTTTGCCTACACAGTGAAAGTCAAGAGTGGCCAAAAACCACTGGACCCCACTGACTTAGTGTATTAAAAAAAATTCCATTTAAAGCTAAAGGGTGTAATTTTGTTGTTACAATACTTCATCACCACTAAAACCCGTGTCGTCTTCCTGCAGACACTACTGGACATTTTCACAGGCGTGAAGCTCTACCTCCCAGAGTCAGTGCAGGACTTTGAGAAGCTTCGGCGCTACTTCCTAGCGTACGATGGAGATTTGGTGCCAGAGTATGACTCTGCTTCAGCCACACATACACTGGGAGAGCCAGAGGATGACCGTTCAGCCCAGAGGGTCACCTCCAACTGGATCTGGGAATGCATCCGAAAGAGGAGGGTGGTTCCTCCCTGCTGAATGAGGTAGAGAGACTGCTGGAAGGACACTACCACAAAGCTCAGGCATTTTGTCCTATAATGACATTGTTCATTAGAGAACAGCAAACCGGTTTCTTCAGACTCGCAGCTACAGCAATAACGAGCTGAAAGAACTTTTTCTAACCGGTGTCTCAGTTTCATGTTTTTGTTAGCTTTACCACATTGTGGTATTACACACATTGTGCTAGAAAACTGTCTGTTTTCAATTTTGTTGGTTTTGACATTATGGATTCACATATTTATCATTTTTAAACCTTGGTGACATTGACCAATGCTGCCACTCATGTCATACGCTTATTCTTCAAAGAGGTAGATAACTAATGATTTTGATTACTTCATGATACAATGTCATTTATCTGTTTTGAAAAGGATGTTTGTATGGAGTATGCTCTTGGGCACAGGATGAGTAATTAACAATACAATAGTAACAGCCATAAAGCATGATTGTGGAATGAATAATTGTGTAGAGTAAATTGGGTAAGAGCCCTCTAGCTTAGTAATGGTAGTTGTGTGTAATTTCAACTGTTTAATCATTCTAATTAAAACAAGCCTTTTGTGCACAAAGAAATTGATTTGTACCTGAATTGTGAGCATGCAACAGGGAACAGCAGTTCTGTTCTCCAACATGAGTGATTGTATGAGTGTCTGTATAACATGGCATGGGTTTTCCCCCTTGTCTAATCAGTAATTTTTGGAGTTATACTGACACATAGAGGTGAGATGCAGAATAATGCAAAAATGTATTTTGTTTTTCCATTGAAAATGGTCAGTAATGTGCTTTTACTGGTGGTGCTGAGGAAAACGAATGTTTTTTTTTTATTTACTCATTGCTCAATTTCACTTAGAAAATAAGGTGCCAACATTATGCAAATGTTTTTAAGAAAAAAAGAATGCAAGGTCTTTTTGAGTTGATTGAACGGTACATATACAAAAACATTCATTCAAAGAAAGAAAATGTCTTATCACCTGTCAAAGACCACAACAGAAACAGTTTGTAGAAATATTATACATATTTACACCGACTCTAAATAGACCTATATATTTTTGTCAAGGTTTACTTCTTTCCTCTAGTTTCCTCTTGTCTGAAATGGAGGTTCTCCTCTCTTCAGACCAGTGACAAAGATCAAACTCCTCTACCAGATGACAAGCCTGAAGATGATTAAAAAAACAACAACAGCAACAGTAAATAGAAGTAATGTCCCATGTGTACCCCACTAGTGTTGTCACGGTACCAAAATTTCAGTATTCGGTACCAATACCAGTGAAAATCCACGGTTCTCGGTACCAATTTCGGTACCAAAGCAAAACACAACATGCTAATTGAACAACATTTTTATTAATAACGTTAAACAAAAATTAAATGTACAAAACCAATGCCATTCTTTATACTTATTTAAAATTGTTTCAAGTTTTTCCACAAGTAATAGAAGTATGAAAAAAGTAAACAAGTTTCACCCAAAAGTTTAGTCATACAGGTGCATCTCAATAAATTAGAATGTCATGGAAAAGTTCATTTATTTCAGTAATTCAACTCAAATTGTGAAACTTGTGTATTAAATAAATTCAGTGCACACAGACTGAAGTAGTTTAAGTCTTTGGTTATCCGACTTGGTACCGAAATACCGGGTCTTTTGACAACACTATACCCCACTAAGTAAAGACTTTATTGGGTTATTCTTGAAAATCAGGATTATTTCCCCAAAAACCACCTGTCGTGATGATTTGGTCAGAGTTGCGGTTCGTAAGGATGAAGTCTCTGCGTCCTCCACTCTCTGCAGGAGCACACGTGTGCGCGGCACATGACTCCATGACTGTCCCAGTCCAGCCTTCAAATGCCCATTCCCATCTTTGGTCACATGGTTTGTCACCTACAGTGCAAGATTTCACAGAAACAGAATTTATTTCAAAAGGCATTTATTATATGCCAATATGTGACAATATTTAGTCACACTCTTAATGCAAATGGAATGAAAGTTGCGACAGCTCTTGTGACTTAGATCCAAGCCAAATAAATTATTGGGGGGAAAAAAAACAATCGGTTGTTGATTGGGTGTGGTAAATTGGCTGAATGCAAGCTTGCAGACAATCCTAAGAAAGAGGCGGGATTTAAGCAGGCTAAATGGCTGCAGAAATTTGTCTTTTTCCAATATTGCAACAAAATAATATCTTTATGGATGTATTTTTCAGTATGATCTAACGTGCACTTAAATTCATAAGGTGAATTTTCATTTTATGCTAACTTTCATTTTATTATCATTCACAAAGAGCAATTCCATATTATATTTTGAACAAAACAAGCAGTATTTATGCACACTAGACTTCTCCAGGCTTGGACCCACAATTTTGAAATTCAGTAATAATTCCAGTTTTGTTTTTGTAACAGGAAACAGAAAGGTGCATACCAGTACAGCAATGTTGAAGTCTTTGGCGATCATCTTCAGCTCCCCAGCAACTTGCATCAGCAAGGACATACCTGATGCATAAGATGCTAATTAGAACAGAACATTATGATGAGTATTATGCAATATTGTAAACAAATACCCTCGTTCTGTTTCCCCCCGAGCATGGATGAGAGCACAGCAGAGACTGAATCCACCATCAGCGCTTTGACTGAACCACCTCCGACAGACGCCTAGGGAACATTCAAGAGTTCTGCTACAAACAACCACTTATATCAACAGACTTTTAAAAATAACAATACTTACCTTCTGAAGGCTATTTGATCTCAGATGTTGAAGACATGCGAGCAAAGAGAAGACATCAAATACTCGGAACACCTTGATTTTTTGAAGTGCCTCCATCTATGTATTGAAAAGGAAAATGTAACCTCTGGAGCACAGTATGATATAATACTGTTTAAAATAATCAACTTTATGACACAAATGAGCCAAGAGCCAAGAGCACACGCCGAACAGCTACTAGAGCCTGAAAGATAATACAGTATTTAGTGTGCTAACTTTGTTTAGTTTAGTTACAGTCTCTATGATGGATAGTGGTAAATAAAGGTGAGGCCTGATTGAATAGGCGTTAGCTGAAGTAAGAAAAGCACACTAAAAATGAAGTTATTCCACATACCTTGTAAGACAATGAACACTTTCGTGCAAGTTCTTCTGGGTTACATGAGACAAAGTCTTCAACTGAAATAATTAAACATGTATTATTACAAGGCCACAGGCAGTCATGGAGTAAAGAATACTTTATTGATTCCCATAAGGGACAATAGTGCTTGAGCAGCAACAGTACTTCAATGAACAGTCCTCTAATTTTTTATTCATGTCGTTTCAAACTGTGCTGTTATTTTTTTTGTTGGAACACACTCAGCTCTTTTCTATACAACGACAGTTCATTGTCAAACTCAATGCAAATATTTTTTTGCGAGGAACAGACCAAAAATGATTTCATTATTCAAGGATTTTTTCCCCCTCCGCCAAGGCATTCGAGCGAGGCCAAAATACCATTGGTTGTTTGACAAGTTTCTGACATTAATTTCATTATCAAAGCTATCTTATGGCTCCAGAAGACTCATATTATGAATATATCTCATATTTCACATGGAATTCTTTTATGGTGCTTGTATGGGTTTCTTTAGTCAATTATAAGGCAACATGAAATGCTCTATCTATTTTTAATGCATGTTATTGATCTTACTGTGAATAATTCATTTGCACATTTTTCAATTTTTAACTTCAGTCTTTATCAAAAGGTTAAACTGAATCTTTTGGTAAAAACAACAGGCTTCTCTCTAGTTATGTATTACAGACTTCTCCAGTCATTTAGACCACTTTATGATTATAATTATAAGGGTACATGAATGAGAAGGGAAAAAAAGACGTGCCTGGAGAAATCATTTAACACTGTAAAATTGCATTCAAAAATAAAATTGTAAATTTTTATTTCATGGCGACTAAAGACTGACAGATTTGATCACCATGATCTGTGGTTGTATGAACAGCTATGAGCAGAAAAAATTCTTTTGCGTTTAATGTGGAAAAAAATTGTTTTGTTTTTTTTGGAACAATTTGGGATGAGTAAATAACTACAGAAGCATAAAATACACAATATACTGATATATAATTCCAACACAATAAACAAAAAAAAGACCCAAGATAATTACACAGTACATAAATCTAACATTAAAGTTAGAATTATTAGATTTTTTAAAACATTTTTAATAAGATATTACTATGGTAGATGGTTTAATCTCCTACTATATAGTACTTCTTGTTAGTGCTGTAAAGATGAAATGAACTGAAGCTACATGTTGCTATTTGATGATCATTGTCAACACCTGTTTTGATATCCTCTGACTGTAAAGCCTTAATGAATTCCTCGTTTATTCCAGGGCAGATCCCTTCTCTCAAGATCACCATGACTCCCTAGGCAGAGTTTAAGAACACAATCGACAGCAATGTTAATAAAAACGGGATAACAAAAACGCTACGTTAAACATCTTAACAACAAAATACTTGATCTTCTCACCAGATGGCTAGAAACCCCATCAACACACACTTATGTTCTTCACATTCTTCTGGGTGTCTTCACATATTACGAGACATCCTCTTGACTTCATATTGCTGCCCGCCACATTTCAACACCAGTCAGCGAGCAGCGCTATTGACAGGAGAACCGTCCAATCACAGCCTCCGTCGATTTGCCTAAGCCAATGACAAGCTTCCCACTTGTGCTAAGCCCCGCCTCGCGTGATCGGGGCGTGCGTGGAGAAATTAAAGTAACGCTATTGGTTCTGCTGGTTCCTAAACACAGAAGACACCTACAGTCAGTTTGTTTCCGTCAACCAACAGCTCGCTATAGACGCAAAGGCAAAATAAAACCGTGTTTTGCGAATATAGCGCACATGCAAATAATGGGAAGGAGTGTTGTGCACTCCTATACCGCTGTCAGCTGTGTGTTTGTCGCTCAGGCCCGTTAGCCTCGAGTCTGTTAGCTTTAGCCGCCTGCAGCTGTCGTACGCACGCACTCGCGGGGGCAAAATGGTGAGTTTGAGATTTTCAGCTTGTTTTACGTTAATCGCTTAACGGGTCGTATTTGTGTGGTTGGGAATGATTGCCTAACTACTTAGCCGCATAGCTGCTCGCGTTGCATGTTGCCAGATTGAGCTGTTTCTTTGTGGGAACAGTAATGATACGTGACGTTCAGATCGGAGCTCGTAGCTAACGCAGGCAGCTAGATGTCGGCTGTGTGTCAAAACATTGTGACTGGCCTGTATGTACTGCATTTATAGCTGTCACAGACCCGTCAGTGATGCCCCACAAATACTTTCTAGTTAACTCGCTGGAGTTTGACTTGCAGCCGTCGTGTAGATTTGACTGCTGGATGTGTGCTGCAGACTATGACGAGAGGTCGAGAGATTCAGGCCGACATCGGCAGTCTGATAAGAGCAAATATGATACATAACCGAGTGTACCTGCCGGTTAGACCCGTCTGTAAAAATAGGGAAGCTAATCCTAAGGAGTTTAACGATTATGATTTCTATTTCTTCTTAATGATTCTGTTTTTTAAACGTTTCTTTTACAACTTATGAGTAAGAAATGTTTGTAAAAAAAAAATACTTCCGTCAGTAGTCTGTTGCCAGACTTTTCTGGATTCAACAGATCAATTATAGGACCTAACAAATCAGAAATACGATTTATGAATTGAAATTTTTGTGAAAGGTCTGTTTACACAGACTGTTTAATGGCTTTTTTACACACTTCGTGAGGGTAGATTAATTTAAAAAAAAGTGTGTGGGGAAATAATTTAACACTTCAAAATTCCATAAAATAAAAGTTATCCATTTTGATTTCGTGGTGATTTTAAAAACTGACAGGCATGGTCACCATGATTTGTGGTTTTATGAACAGCTAAATCTTTTGCTTTTCATTTGTGGAAAAAAGTGTTTTAGATTTGGAACAATTTGGGACGAGTAAATAACTACAGAAACATAAAATACACAATATACATATTCCAACACAATAAAGAAGAACCCAATACAATTGCTCAGTAAATAAACTTTAATAAACATAATTAATAAAGAATTATTAATGAGAATTAGTCCACCCCCCCCAAAAAAATACTGCCACTTAGACCCGTCTATAAAAATAGTGATACGAATCATAAGGAATTTTACGATTCCTATTCTGATTCTGATTTACTTCTACTTCACAGTTCCTTTACTACTTATGAGGGAGAAATATTTGTAAAAATACCTCCCTCGACAGTCTGCTGTCAACTCTTGAGATCGTTTATAGTTTCAACAGAACAAATATAGGACCTAACAAACCAGAGATACTATTTATGAAATTCTTGTAAAATGTCTGTTTTGTTTAATGGCATTTCACAGACTTTTAGAGGTGGCATATACGAAATTCAAGAGTTGGCCATAATTATATAAACGTATAGGCCTAGATACCAAAGTGCAGTAAACGGTAAAACTATATTGCGTTATAAACCAGTGTGTTTATGATTACAATAATGCATTTAAATAATATGATAAAATACCATTTTACAATGTCAAGAGGAGTAGTCTATTTTTAGTAGTCTAGGTCTATTTTTTCAGTGAAAATAACTGGAAGCAGCTGTCCTCGGAAGCCTTGCACGTTCAAGTTGCAAAATGCGTAAAAAAAAAAAAAGGTGGTTAGTGCAGCAGCTAAGTTCCAGAAGTAAAAACCTAATTCATTCAGTTATTTTTTTTAACAATAACTTGTAAAACCTTAAAAACATATTGTGAGCTATGAGGTTGTTAATTAATGGAATATGATTCTGTTGAAACCATCAGCCCACGTTATTTGAACTTGTTTAAAAAAAAATAAAATATTCAACATAAGAATTCCTCATGAAAAACAACATTATCCATGATTCTGCAGAGAAATGTCCACCAATCAGAGAATCACGACAAGCGAGTTAATGGCTCTTGAACATGCAATTATGCATCACTCACTAAATTAAGTTAAATATTGATGAGGTCATGTGATGAAGAATGCACGTTCAAGAACCATTAATGGAACTGAACAACAAGAACAATTTGGGTCCAATATTTAGTAGAAAAACATTATAGATTGTTGATCTTTGTAAAATGTATTTTCATATTCCGAATACAGCTGTAAGGATGAAAACATATGCCTCAACTCACGATAACGTGAGGTTGTGTTACATATGTTGCATAATGCACAAACCAGCATGAGCTTGTAACCCATGCCACGCTGTTGCTTCTGCAAATTAAGGAAAAGAGGTTTCTTGATGGTTGCGAGATATAATTGTCTTAATTTAATTTGTCTTTTGGTGTAAAACAGTTTTTCAGCCACCCAGAAGATGTCAGGTTATTTACTGATAGTATTGTCTCTTTATTCATTTTGTCAACTCATTGATCCAGTGTTTGTTCTATGTGTGTGGGGTGTGGTGTTTCTGCTTGCATTTCTACCCTAAACTGTTTGACAGTATCTCTGGTTGTTCTCAACACAATTGAGTTATAGTCCTCTAATTATTCTCAAGCTGCAATAATATTTGATTTTGTAATGAGTAATCCTTGTTAATATTGATATTGTGCGACAGAAGCAAGATTTAGAATCAAGATCTGCCATTGACTGGTGTTTAGGTGCGCACACATGTCTTAATGACTCTAAAGCAAGTTGTGAAACTTCACAGTTCAGCTCTTGTCATACATAGAAGTGAAGAGAGAACAAATAATAAACTAATAAGACCCAAATATTGACTTGGAGCCATATGTTAGTGCTTAGCAAACCTTTGTGCCTTACAGGTAAGATTAACACAAACCGGTTCATATTCAGAAGATGTCAGACGTTAATTAGAATTTACTGGAGTGTGATTAAGTGCTTGTGAATTCAATGCCAGTGTTGATGTAGGTGAAAGTTCCCTAAGCTTGAGGGACTTCTTTTTTTCTCTTGTTGCAGGTGTTGTTGTTGAATCCACTGGAGAATCTAAAGACCTACATAAGTAACCGTCCACCGCTGGTTATTTTTATGGTCAGCGTCAGTGCTGTGGCTATCGCTTTCCTCACTATAGGATACTTCTTTAAGATCAAGGAAATCAAGTCACCTGAAATGACTGAGGTAGGAAATGCCTTGGTTTAGCTCAAATGTTTGAGCTGTGAACCTTTGAAAATACTTGAGAATGTAATGGTTAACGATAAGTTGGCAGGTGTTATTTTAGTACTGTTTTATACTATTATAGTATTTATTGATATTTTAAATTAACTAATTATTTTTATATTTTCACTTTTCATTTTAATCATTGTTTCAATTTTAGTCATGTAATTTGTGTTAGTTTTTTTGTTTGTTTTAATATTTTATATAGCTTTAATTTATTTTCATTTTATTTCAGTTTTAGTAATGTATGCTTTTATTAATTTAGTATTCATTTTTATTTATTTATTTCAGTCAGTCATCAAGGCTACAAGGCTATTTTTTCTATTCTATTCTATTTATTTATTTATTTATTTTATAGTTTACTAAAATCTCTCTCTCTCTCTCTCTCTCTCTCTATATATATATATATATATTTATTTATTTATTTGTATTTATTTATATTTAAATTCAGTTACCATAAATTATTTCTACTATTAGAAGTTTGCAGTTCCTTGATGGGAAACTACATACGTTTGAAAATTTTGAATGTATACAGCTATATCATTTAGTGGGGAAAGACCATTGAAACAAGATTATATTTAAATAGCATACTTCATTTCTATTTTTTTATTTTCATATAATATTAGGTTATACTTGATTTCAGCATTATTTAAATTATGACAAACAGTTTTTAACAGTTTCAATTAATAATGACACTGTAGTAGACATACAGGTATGAAAATCATGTTCTTCTGGGCATTAATATTGATCAGGAAATGCCGGAGATAAACTTTACTTTGGAATTAATCAATTTTGTAACTTCTTTTTTTTTTTCATGCCCTCTAGGATTGGAACACCTTCCTTCTCCTATTCAATGAGGTTGACTTTTGCATCTCAGAAAACGAGACCCTCAAGCATAGCTTGAACGAGTCCATCACTCAAGAGAGCACAGTGACCAGCAGTCAAACGCGATCCAGCACACAGTCACCACCCCTGCTGGAGGACCCGGGGCCGATCAACATCTCTGTGCCCATCACATTGACCCTGGATCCACTGAGGCCATTTGGGGGCTACTCTCGCAATATTACCCACCTCTATGCCAGTGTGCTTGGGCAGCAAGTTGGCCTTGCTGGTATGTCTCTATTATTTTTTAACGTGTATGTGTTTGTTGGAAATTTACCTTGGATGTGTGCCATCTGATAGCATACCTCCACGTGGTCAGTGATTTTGTCAGCCGTTTTTTTAGCTGTTTTTCACATAGACTGTTTCCTAACTTGCATATTTACTAAGCAATAAGAATTTTGCACTTCCTTGATAGGAAACTACCTGTGTTTAGATGTGTACAGCTATATTCGCCAGTGAGGAAAGACCATTAAAACCTACTCAAATCATAGATAAAGTCTGACAATAATAATGATAACGCATATTTAGCTTCTTCAGTTGAAATCGTGCCAAAATAAAATTGGTCTGGTTAAATGGTATGTGTGTTTTAGATAAAATGCATTATCAAGATGCATATCAGTTAGAAAATCTTCCTTATGCTGTGTCTGTTGCATCATGAAATTGTGTCAGTTGTGTACAATTTATTATTACTTAACTTTCAGATTCATATCTATATGTAAAAACAGCCATGACTCCTTCTCTGTGGCATACAACATCTTGTGATTGAGATCATATCATTACATGATATTACATGATTACGTGTTAAGAACAACACATAAGAGAACCAAACCAAATGTCTTTATTGTTACACGTTGAGTTGTGGGCAGTATTAGCTGAAATGGATGCAAACATTGAAACTCAAAATATTTAGTGTACTATTTCACATACAGTACCATTCAGAAGTTTGGGGTCAGTAAGATTGTTTTAAAAATGTATTTGGGGAAAAAAGTCTGTTATGCACACCAAGGCTGCATTTATTTGATCAAAATACAGTAAAACTGTAATATTATTGCAGTTTAAATAGATTTTGAATTGCCATTTATTCCTGTGATGGCAAAGTACAGATCAAAATCCAGAATGCAGATTTGGTGCTGAAGAAACCTTTCTTAGTATTACTAATCTTGAAAACAGTTGTGCTGCTTAATATTTTTGTGGAAACTATGATTTTATTTATCCCCCCCCCCCCAGGATTTGATGAACAGAAAGTTTAAGAGAACAGCATTTATTTGAAATGGAAATTTTTTATAATCTTTTGTAACAAATGTCATGTGACATGTCATTAATTTCATTTTTGATCTTACTAACTTCAAATATTTTAATAGTAATGTACAACATATGTAACACTGGATGAAAAAAACTCGTTGAAATTGAGATTTCAGCGGAATAAATAAACTTTCCATTGTATGGTTTGTTAGGATGGGACAATATTTGGCCGAGATACAACTATTTGAAAATCTGGAATCTGAGGGTGCAAAAAATCTAAATATTGAGAAAATCTCCTTTAAAAAGTTGTCCAAATGAAGTTCTTAGCAATGCATATTACTAATCAAAAATTAAGTTTTGATATATTTACGGTAGGACATTTACAAAATATCTTCATGGAACTTGATCTTTACTTAATATCCTAATTATTTTTGGCATAAAAATAAAATCGATAATTTTGACCAATACAGTGCATTTTTGGCTATTGCTACAAATATACCCGTGCTACTTATGACGGTTTTTGTGGACCAGGGTCACATTTAATGATTATATTACATTATTTCTCAAATGAGAATTTTGAGAAAAATTCCAAACCAAAATTTTGAACAGAATTCAGCCTTGTTGGCTTTCTTATTCAATCAAACAGATCAGATTGGAAAAGTCGTTGTTGTTGTTGTTGTTTTTTTCTCTCTCTCTCTTTCTCTCTTTCTCTTTCCTGGTGTTTTGGCTGAACGTAGTCCAGTTCAAACAATGGTCCGTTGTTCGCAAAGGGATAGCAGTGGGAGAGAGGCCGGAGCTAAATACCTTCTAGATATCACTTGCAGGCACATCTAAGCTCCCTTTGTTTTGCAGAACATGCTGACTCTGTGTGGGTGTGTTTGTGTCATTAAAGGCAGAGAGGCCCATGAAGAGATGAACATCACATTCACTCTGCCGGTAGCCTGGAACTCAGATGACTGCGTTCTGCATGGTCGTTGTGAGCAGATGGTCTTCAGCACCTGTATGACCATCACAGCAGCCAGTAATGTCTTCCCAGTCACAGTGTAAGTGTCCATAAGTCACCTTACATTTTTTGTGTATAGTTTTACTTATAAATCAGGATGTCTGTTGTTATCAGCAAAGATAAAACCAGAAAAAGTCTAAAATTCACAATATTCAAATGTAGTGCAGTAGTTTACAACAGTACACACAACAGTAGTTACATACCACTTGTCTTCTGTAGGGATGCTGGAATATTTTTGTAATGTTAGTAAATATTAATAATATTTGTTCTTGCATTCAGAAGGAAAGCTCTTTTTCCTGTAAGCTGAGCCAAATAAGTAGATGTGGATTAAAAAAAAAATAGATATAAAGTATATGCATGTTTTAGTTATCAATAATATGCCTGGTATGATGAGCTCTTTGCTCACGCTGAACCCTAACCCCCTGTTTATATGCACAGTTTGTTAGATAAAGGGGGTGGTACAACTTAATCTTACCTTATTTTCCCTTACTATGTTTTTTGTATTTTGCCATATCAAATATTGTAGGTTTTCATCTCCGTATTTTCTCTATAAATTTGTTTGTTTGTGTTCTGAGTAACTTAAGACCTCAGAAATGAGTGTTTAAAGGGATCGTTCACCCAAAAATGAAAATTTGCTGTTAATTTACTCACTCTCAGGCCATCCAAGATGTAGATTTTTCTTTAGTAGAACAGTAAAGAAACTTTTAAGTTTACAGCCTGGTCTTTGGTGATTTATAAAGTGCAAGTCAATGGCTTCTGGCACTTGAGAGTCAAAACAGCATATATTGGCAAGACAAAATGAATACCTGTGGCTCCTGATGATATCTTGATGTTTGATGAAGCAAAATGATTGACCTGTGCAAGAAACTGAACATCAACTGTAATCCATAGCCTCAGTCAAATGGTCCGGAGTGATGTCCAGTTTGCAAAAGAAACGTTCTTTTGAGCTGGTTCTTTTAAGTGAACTGGATGAATCTGTTCACTCGAACTGAAGAACTCGATGATATGAGTATGCGTGAATTGAGCACTTAAATGAAGAGGAGAAGTGAAAGTTTTATGGTTTTTCATAGTTTATGTAAAAAGGGTGAGTTGAGTAAGTCTAGTTTATTCATTTTATATGGTTTAGATATGTAAAACAGCCATGTTTCACATAATTATTGGGTGTTTTAATAATATAATATATTGCGTATATATGTCACGTCATTGCCTGGTTATGTAAACAAACTGGTGAATCAGTTATTTGAACCTGTCCATTGAAACGAATTGTCTGAAAGAACCAATTAATTGAAAAGATTCTCTGGACTTCACTGTTTGCCTGAGGCTATGAATTACAGGTAATAATGTTGTAAATAATGTCCAGTTTCTTGCACAGACTGATAGTTTCGCTTCATAAGACCACAATATGTCATCAGGAGCCACAGGTATTAATTTTGTCTTGCCTGATATTACTCTCAAGCGTTGGTAGCTGGGACCTTGGTTTAGCTGAAAATTGCCTTTACTGTCACCTACATGTTGGATTTCCTGAGGGTGAGTAAATTTTGGGCAAACTATCACTTTAACTGACCCAGACAGCTGAGGCAAAACAAAAAGAACATACACAGTGGGCACATGGAAGACTTGCAGCATAGTGCAAATTTGTGTTACATAACTGAGAATAGTTTTTTAAGGGTCCTAATTGGAGTTTCCTTCATCTACAATGAGTAATTCATACCTTGTTTTAAAAATCCTCTGCAGGCAGCCGCCTCACTGTGTCCCAGAGACCTACAGTAATGCCACATCCTGGTACAAGATTTTCACTACAGCACGAGATTCAGACACTAAGTACACACAGGAGTACAACCCGTTCTGGTGTTACAAAGGTGCCATTGGGAAGGTGTATCACACACTGAATCCCAAGCTCACTGTCATCGTTCCAGATGTGAGTGTTGACAGCAAATCATTTGTGTGTGTATGTGTGTTTTTTAAATGCCTTGTGAAAGTACAGTACTAATACCAGGCAAAACACCCTAGCAACCACATAGCAGCACACAAACATATAGGTCCTGTTTTTACCTGGTATTAGGATACGTTTTCCTGATCACAAGTGGTCTGCTGAGATCTATGACTGTTTACACCTGGTCTTAACATGTGTTTTAAATGTGTCTTCTGCGACCACATGTTTGAATTTTGTCTAGTCCTTCTGCAATTTTTCATTTTTCATTTTACATCTCTTCACGGGACTGCCAGCTAAAAGAAAGGGAAACTAATGGCGAATCATAATCTGAATGTGAATGTGTTGAATGTGGGCAAGTTTCATTAAAAGAGCAACATTTTGAACAAAAAGCTGAGAAAATAGTGTTTTTGTCAAAGACCATGTCTGGATGGGATTCAGAATAATGATCAAAACATAGATGGAGTAGATCGCTTCCATCAACACCCCTAAAGCTTGCATGGTCCTATTGAACTTCCTGGGTCGACATTTCATTCAGTAAGGTTAAATGTTTGATGATCACATTATTTTACATATGCATCTTCTTACATATGTGACCCTGGACCACAAAACCAGTCATAAGGGTCAATTTTTCGAAATTGAGATTTATACATCAATGGAAAGCTTATTTATTTAGCTTTCAGATGTTGTATGGTTTGTTAGGATAGGGCAATATTTGGCCGAGATACAACTATTTGAAAATCTGGAATCTGAGAGTGCAAAAAAAATCAAAATATTGAGAAAATTGCCTTTAAGGTTGTCCAAATGAAGTTCTTAGCAATGCATATTATTAATCAAAAATTAAGTTTTGATATATTTACAGTAGGAAATTAACAAAATATCTTGATGGAACATGATCTTTACTTGATATCCTAATGATTTTTGGCATAAAAGAAAAATCAATAATTTTGACCCATACAATGTATTTTTGGCTATTGCTACAAATAAACCCCAGCGACTTAAGATTGGCTTTGTGGTCCAGGCACATATATGTGATAGTTTCTGCTGCTTCTTCACCTAGTTTTGATCCAGACATTCAGTACTCTTTTAGAAAATGTGTAATAGCGCCTCCTACAGTATAACAGTGAAAACACGGAAAGCCAGAAAATTCTGTAAATGGCGAGGGAAGCACTCTCGTGACGAAATGATGACAAATCCCGTCAGTGGTGG